CATACGATTGTCGGCTTCGGGGTCGGAGCATCGTAGTGCTGCAGATAGAATGTATCACGAAATACCTCGGCGGCATGTGTGTCCTCTTCCTGCCGCTATACTTATAGATCTATATGATTCGGGAGCAATAGGATGTTGTTTTGAACCTCGGGTGTGTGGGGTGATACAAATCCAACCCGACTTCTCCTATGCTGTGCTCCCCACTTCTCATGGCAGGGTGGATCCTGGCACAGATGTGCATGATCAGCAGGCTTGTGGGCCTAGTATTGATTTCGAAATGCTCAAGGGCTAAGGGTGTAGGCTCAGGGTGTACGGTCAATAGGATGCAGGCACAGCAGTTGTGTGTAGGACACAACGAAAAGTTGGGCCGAGCTTCTACCTAATGGGAATTCCACAGCTCGAAACCTGAATTTGATTATATGCAGAGGACCGGCCTATGCGAAACCCCAGAAACACTCCAAAAAGAAAGCGACACCCTCTAGACCCACACAATCTCAGCCCCAATGATTACGGTAGGGTGTAGGGTTTGGATTTTAAGGTTTGTTCAGCAGTAGTCGTAGTACCGCAAAAGTACGTATGCTAGTAGTCGTAATAGTAGTAGTAGTAGTAGTAGTAGTAGTAGTAGTAGTAGTAGTACGTAGTAGTATACAGTAGTAGTAGTAGTAGTAGTAGTAGAGTAGCAGCATAGTAGTAGAGTATAGTAGCAGTAGTAATGCTATAGTACGTAGTATAGTCCTAGTCGTAGCAGCTAGTCGTAGTGGTTTTAAGGGATTTTTTAGGTATTGGGGGTCGATAGGCTATGGTTTAGGGCTGAAGGGTTTCAGGGCTTAGGGTCTAGGGGTTGCAGGAGTTTTTTTCCGGTTTTAGGCTTAGGGTTTACGGTCTTAGTGTCAACTACCTTGGATCCTATGCTGGTGTTGCTGTTGCATAGCCACACACCAAGCCGAAGCCCAGTAGGCAAGCCCCACGATTCCAAGCCTCGATCCCTCCCTCATATCATAAATCAAGTTAGCACCCTGGACCCCCAAAGCCAATGCTTCAGAAGCTCGAAACTCCGAAAACAACATTAGGCCTATCCTCTGGAGTGGTTGCGCCCCCTTCACAAAATCGTTCTGCAGGCACTGGCAAATCGCAGGGCTGTGTCAATAGACCGGTGTATAGGACTTCGGGTTAGGGCTTCGGTTTAAAAAGATGCTTGCTTCTGGTTTGCTTATAAGCTAAGGGTTCAGGGTTTTCGATGTTATATTGCTGAAGACTTCCAAAAAACGAGCAATCACGGGTCTTACTGGTACCAATGGTTTTCGGATGTTGGGTGTATATATCAGATGCTGGGAACGGCATAGTGCCGAGCCGGGCTTAGCCCTAAACCCTAACCTCCTACCCATAGATCAGCACGAGGCGCATAACAGATTTTGTTCGTAAACCAAGAAAACCTGTTGTGGAACGGAAAGACGTCGTCCGAGCCTCGAGGTTGTTCTATCAAGAACACAGCATGGACTGCCACCATCAGGAGCAGCAAGAGCACCATCCTGCACGAGGTTGTTAAGGTCATCTATTGTAGTACAGCATGCCGCTACACTGTGCATTCTAGCTGCCAGCTGTAGCGCCAAGGCCTCGAAACCGTCATCGTACCATGCTTAACGAAGTCCAAAGCAGCTCGACCCCCAGGGTTAATGGGTGACCGCAATGACGTTCCACGGCATATCTGGGTCCAGCTGGCACAAGCCGGGGCCAATAAGTTCATAGCATTGGGGCTTTGTCGTAGGACACAGGCCATCGCCAACCTGGAACTTGCAACCGAAGACTCAACACTATAGCTAGCACATGATCTATAAGTATATATGTATAATACAACTAAGCCCTTGACGCAAAGCCCCCTGGTGACAAAAAGTCCATACATCTCCCGGGTTGACCGTACAACACGTCGTACGATATCGTGGATGCACCGGCTTCCCTGAAGACCTGGCTCACCCTCGCATCGCCACAGAAAAGCTCGAACATCTCCACCTGCATCCGCAGGTCGACATTCTGGGTCCAAGTCAGCAGAAGTACCTTGAGGCGCGCGACTTGCAATGCCCAGCAATATAATCTTAAGTGTGCGCCAGACATGTATAGATCGCACTGGCCAGTGTGTCATGTAATATATGCAGCTGCCACACACATCCAATCAGCACCTTCAGCACATCTGTGTCAACACATGGGGGGTTGCATGCAGAGCACATGCATGATTACGTGGTGCACCTTGGGTGCCTGTAGCTGCACCAAACTTGGGACCAGTGACTCCCATCGAGGCACCGGCATGGCTAAGCAGTTGCACAGAAGAGAATGCACCCTGAAGCCCAGTCTTACCGGGCACAAGCACACATTGAGGAGATCAGTGCATGCAACCAGTCCAGAGGCCACACTTGAGTCAAGGAAACGAGGCAGCAGCACCCTTTGAAATAGCACGGCAGGCCCACCTCTCCATATATAGTTCACCACAGAGACCTGCGCACAAAACTCGATCCATTGTGGTCAAGTGCACGGGGCAATGCATGCATGCATGCACATGACTGTTGGCTACTCGTGCACTATTAGTTAACATCCACGAAGACAGCATTGCAGATCGATCATAGACATTCTTTCTTTCTCGCCACACACAGGGTGCTGCAATCTTGCTCGAGATGCCCCGGACTCGATCAAAAGCAAAAGTAGTGCATCTACACTGCACTTAAAAAACCTGGTGTCGATCACGTGCAGTATGCATCCTACTAGCCCAGCACCACGTCAAGTGATGCCAGGGTCGGCAGCGAACCATCTGTTCGATCTAATCACTGCGTAGCATACTGTAGATCATCCAGGCTCCCAGCCCATCCAGCAAAATCGTCAAAACTTGCTGGTTCTCGGCAAAATGCCAAGCTACTTCGTGGAGCGATATGCCTCAGATCGGATTCAATCGACAGCACAGACAGCCCAAAGACTGCACAGCAGAAGGTTACAATCTTAAGGGTTTTTAATGCCGAAGGATTCAGGCGAGGGCTATTGGCTTAAGTTACATATTAAATCCGATATCAATTAATGGTTCTACGGCTTTGAGGTTTTGCGACGATCGGTTCGAAGTTTAGGGTTATGGGGGGTCTCTATTTGTTGGGCGCTTAAAGGCTTAGGGTGTCTAGGGTGTGGTGGGGATTGAAAAATAGATAGCATCCCCGGTTCTTAAGGTATTGTACATACCGGGTTTAGGGTTATGAATCGAAACAAGAAGCCTCCTTGGCGATCTCCGATGCCTCTTCAGCCGACATGCCTGCACTCACAGCCTCGGACCGCGCCTTATGATACGCCACCGATTTTCGACTCCTGAGTTTCTTCATGTCTTCGTCATTCTTAGCGGCAGCCTTCTTCTTTGGGGAGCTCTTCGCCTTGGCCTTGGCCTTGGCTTTGCCTTTGGCTCCTCCCTTTCCTCTCCCTTTGCCCTTTGCCTTGGCCTTGGGTGTGGATTTGGGCTTTGGGGTGTTTTTCTTGGGGATACTTGCTGCTGGTCGCTTTGCTGGTCGCTTTGCTGGCTCATGTGACTCATCATCTTCCCCCTCGGCAGCAGAATCATCCATCTCCTCACCATCCAGCTCGTCCTCCCCTTCATTGTCATCCTGACTGCCCTCTTCCAGCTCAAACTCCTCATCGCCCTCCCGCTCGTCCTCACCCGATTTGCACTTCTGCTCGTTGGGCGAGAGGGACACCGCAACCTTGCTCATGCATGCTGGCTTTGCAGGCAGCTCTAGGCCAGCACCTTTTGTGTGCCCAGGCTCTTGTGGGACCTTCTTGTCTGGCTTCTCCGCGGCTTTGTCGTGTGCCTTTGGTGCCTTTGGTTTCTCCGGGCCTTTGTCGTGTGCCTCCGGTTTCTCTGGGCCTTTGTTGTGTGCCTTTGGTTTCTCCGGGCCTTCGTTGTGTGCCCCAGATTTTTCCAGGCCTTTGTCGCATGCCTCAGGTTTCTCCAGGCTGTCGTTGGCTGCTGTTGCTTTGGACTCGAAGCGTTTGCCACTGCCAATGGTTTGGGGCTTTCGGTCACCCACAGTGACAAGATCATCACCTGCATCTTTCAGGGGAGAGTTGGGTGACTGGGGCTCCTCCTCTTCCCCTTCAAAAGTCAAAGCCCTGCATACCGGCTCAAACGGCTCCGGAGGCTGCGCATCCTCCATCCACACCTGGGTCTCCAAGTTGTCTGTGCCTCAGCGATAGGATCCACGATGGGTGCATAGCTAATATTAAAGCGTTCATACGGTTTAGGGTTGAGGTAGCCAAATATATATATATATATATATATAGTACTGTATATGTATATATATATATACATACATCTATATATTATATATATATATATATGTATGTATGTATATATATATATATACATAGATCCATCGAGTAGCACTTAATGGTTTAGATGTTTAGGGTTTTGGGATTATCAGGGCTTAGGAATTATGAGGCGGACTGGGCTTGCACATGAAGACCTGCTTGGAACATTTCGAGTTTGCAGTAGAGGAACATCGGTTCGAGGGGATGTCAGGCTTCACGAGGGGCTCCTTCTTCTCTAGCTCGTAAAGTCGCTGCCTCTTCCTTGCTAGCAACTCTTGCTGGAACTCCTGAAGCTTCTCCTTAAATGCGGATGCTGGGAATGCCAGCTGCCAACTCATGGCACAGACCGAACTACCCGTACATGATTGTCGTAATGCATGGCTAGGCACCAGTTCCCGTATCTTGGCCAGCCGGGACCCATCACACTCCATTGCATTGAACATCTCAAGAGCACCTGTCAGCCCACAGGCCTGGCACTCCGCGACAGCATCATTGATCCGGCATACCACGTGGAAACTCAGCGACTTCTTGCGACCTCAGGACAGGGGTTGAAGCATGGCAGTTCCGTTGCACGGAGAGTAGTGTACCCCGAAAGAAATTTACAGAAAGAGTAGAGACACAGAGAGAGAGAGAGAGAGAGAGAGTCAGAGAGAGAGAGAGTCAGAGAGAGA